GAGAAGTTGAATATTTTTATTTTTCTTTCTTAACTTAGTGATGAGAATATTGTTGTTTAGAATAAATATTAATTGCAAGATGACTATTCATGATGTCAGAAAAACAAGTAGGTTCAAGAAGTTTTAATATAAAATCCCTATAACCTGAGCACTTTCAAAAAGGTGGACCTTTCTTCTTTGCAAGAAGAATAAATAATGTTACCCATATTGCCCATGAATAAGCATTACATTGATTGATAATATTGATAAACAGCTATCTAGTAGCCCAGCAAATAATTTTTCTACTTGAGAACGCTTTTTTCACATGGTCTAACATTAAATAATCCAGTTAAGTAAAAAAATTTTGTACTTTACAATTTTGATGTACTTTCCAATTTACAAAAGATTTGGATTATCTAATTCTTACTGAAGGATGTGTCCCTTAGATACCAACTAGGACTTTAATGCTACAATGCTTAATCAAGCTTAGAAAACAATTTGCATATATTTCCTTTTTATCAGATACACGTACCAATGAAATGACGACAAGCTAAAATATCATAAAATTATTCCTAGCAAACAGATTACAGAATAAGCTGTCTTTTGAGTCTCATGCTTTAGCCTTGTATAAAACTTTCCTAATTGGTGAACTGTAATGAGAAAAAAATCTTTGATTGCTTCAATACAGTTAATATGTTGTTATATTGATAGAAACATCACCATGTGTTTCTAAAATACTCATTTGTTCATAAAAGAATTTTGAAAAAAAAGAACATTACTGAACACATCAATGTGGAAAATCGTATTGTAATCTTTGTATTCTACCAAAGTCAGTAAAACATTAGATAGTTATGAATAGCTATTATTAATTGTTTATCAAAACATATATATAGGTTATTAGTATACAAGACAGCAGTTTACTAATTATTTCAACCATCTCTGTAATTTCAGCCTTTCCAACAAAGTACTGATATGGTAACACAACGTAATATAAAGTAAAGTTGTGATAAATTCCATAGAAGAATGTTGAATCCGCAAAAGCCAAAATTAATTGTTGTAGTAAGAACTCTTTCACTATGTCCTCAACACCAGAAGTAGAGAAACACCCAAAACCATTATTGAGCCTCAAAATCATGTTTCACCACCTTGTTTATGTATTCCTGCTGATTAGGTTCTTAAATGCTACTCTTCCATTTGGCAGTCACCTGTTAACAATTCTAGAAGTCACAGAAATAGTATGGATTTGGGAAATGATTTCATGGAAAATTCCGAGGTGTTGAGAAAAGGAAATTCTTATAAAAAGGTTATCTTTCTTATTTGTTTTCTTCTTTGGAGATACTTCTTAACTGTTCAGTTGTAGCGAATTT